CCCCCCCCCCCCCCCCCCCCCACGAAAACTTGGTTGCGAATTTCCTGGTCTGTTGACAACTATGCAGTCACTTGAATGCGTCGGCGTCTGTCAACCTTTATGGGGTGTTGCTTTCCAGTCATATTTTATTTGAAATGAACCAAAAAAGTTGGCACACCATTTGTCAGCGTTCATATGGCATATTCCAGGTTATGGTACAATCATTATATGGACAGGATATTTGAAGGTCAAATTATCCTTACGATCGTCTCCTCAATAATAAGGTATATTGACAAATTTGTTAGACACCAATTTATCGCCTATACGCTTTTATAAATATATTTACAGTCTACAGTCTTAATAAAAGGGCAGGCGTTTTAGAAAAAAACACACACTTAAAGTACACACACATGAAAGAAGTCAATTTAAACAAGTGTGCTAACACTGGCGGGATTTTTTTCAAAATTTAGAGCGCCTAGCAAGAATTGTGTCGAGACTTTTTATTGTTCGCTACACCACGACCCAGAGACTGGTTGTGATCCGTCGGTTTTTTTGGTTGGCATGTTAATCGCGTTCGGTGCATTGAAATATAATTAACAGGTTGGACGTCGACACGGATTTAGTCTTCCAATGCAAAGCGTGTCTAGCACGTACTTCAAATCCCAATAATGAGTGCATAAGAAAATATTTTGATCGTGTAATTTAAAGCCTATTATTCTGCTTCAAGTGCTAGCCTTGAGGGGGACGACTTATAGGTCATGAGGGCACAAGTATTTTGAAGGATTTTAAAGCGTGCGCACACAAGCCAGCTTTTAAAGCGCGTGAATCAGTTGAGGATATATCACGTGTTCATACTACTTCCGGACGCATACTGCAGACTAAATTGGTGAAAACAGACATTGATTTATGGATTTTGGCTCGTTTAGTGCTTGGAAATTGAAGAGTGCACTGTTCCTTGTCCCTTTCCAAGGCATAAAACGAAGCGTCTGACATTCATTTGATGATTTATCCAATGAAAGCATTCTTGTCCTACCAATTGGAATGTGCATCCAGGTCATTAGAGAATTTGAATTCCGTAGTTGAACTCTCGGTCTCGTCTTTTTTCGTTATTGTTAAGTTCACAGTTGAGAGAAAATATTAGTTAAAGTTCGTATCGAAGATGTTCATGTATAGCGTTTAAAATTTAATTTATCGGGCATAAGTTGGTAAGAATGCGAAGATTTCGGTCATAAAATATTAAGATGTCGTCAAAGCCAATTCGTTCATCGTTGTTCCTCAGTAATTTGAGATATTTGGGGCTTTACAGCTATCATTTGTTGTAATTATGCATTTGTGAATTAGTTCGGATTGATTTTAGTGCTGAAAGAAGCTTTTATCTGAAATTGACAAGTTCACTTCTTCCCAACTACGTTCATCTGTTCGGACCGATTTGAGATCATTTCTTGGAAGAAATTACCACCCTCCCTGTGAACGAACTGTGGTAGCTCTTGAAAGATTACCAACCCAGACCTTTTGAACTAAGTTAAGTTGAGTCAAGTATCTATGTTCTTCTTAGTCAGATCCACCATCATTAACATTCAACCCTGAACCACTCTCTTGCTTCTGTTTCCGCCCACTTGACATTTGTAAACATATGTTTTATGATATTATCCCTTCATGATTGAACTGCTAGAATGGTGATTACTTTTCACTACAGTTTGCTATGTCTTTCTCTCACTTTACAATCAGAGAACTAATGCAAATTGCTCTTAGTTAAAACAAAAGAAGGCACTGAAATTCTAAAGCGCTCACAATTTAAATGGAAATACTGTCCAGTTTTTTTTCATTCTACAGCGCTCGAATACTTTCGAGAATTATTGAATGTCAATTTATTTTTCTCATAGGTTGGCATTTTGGTTCTATGCCAACAACGAAGCCTTCCACAATCCAGTAGGGCACTAATGACTGTTCAATGCCAGGAAACCCTCTTAATTCAGCTCCTGAATACCATTCCACGCAATGCCATAACAGCACAAATTATCGTTCCTCTTGTCTGCAAACTGATGGGTCTCCGGTTATCCTCATCTCAACAATACCTCACTGAAGTTGCCAATCCTGAGGATTGGTGGTGGTCCGCTCTGGGTCCCCTTGTTCATCCCGATGTCTTTCCTGTCCATGTGGTCGCCGAACTACTTTTTGGGCACTTACTACAAGGAGAATCCTCAAATCCATGTATAGGAGATCTGGCCTACTACGTTGTCGTTCGAGCTATGAGGTTAGTTTCTATTTCCGAATGAAATACAGATTTGTCAATAACTTTGTTTGCCTAAAGCTCTACTTGAGGAATAGCACTTCTTTATGGCTACCATATCCATATCCATATCTGTATTTTATAAATGGACCCAATGTAACTTGAATATTGATTTACTATGTACTTTGTCGGACTATAAGGTAGTGTATTGTGAAATTTGGAGTTCTGTTTAATCAATTATGCTCCTGTTAAATGATTTCATGGGTGGTAATGGAGCCATTGTACGTTAAACCTTAGTGTTAAGGTCAGAGTTTCGGGTGGAAAGGGTAGAGCAAATCGGTCCGTGATGTTTTTGGCAATTTCTCTTGTTAATTATTTATGGATGTTAATTAAGGTCATGCCTCTCTCTCTCCCTCTCCCTCCACCAAAAGCTACTGCACTTCCCGTGAAGGTTTCAGGTTAATTAGTATGGGACTAGATAGGCTAATTTTTGGAGTGGACTTATTTTGACACTCTACTTATTATTTCATTTCAGTAATTTATAGAATAGATGCTTTGAAAGTGAGTCAGTTAATTTAATTTTTTTAACACGGTCACGCTTTGCAGAAAGCGGCTAATTTGAAAAGTTGTAATAAAGGGCGAATTTAAACAAATACTAACGAGTTCCATTTGGCAATTCCGCGCCTGAGATATAAGGTGTAATAGATGCGGATGCTCTTTTTGAAATCAATAAATCAACATAAAAACAGACAATACTAGAAGGAATGAGCAGAGCCTAGAAGCCGATTTAAGAGTTTCAAGCTGAACATATTAAGGCGCCGAGTTGTTAGGGGGAGTGAAAAGTTCCCATTATGAATGACGAAAACGTATCGTTCCTTTTTTGCTCTCTTTCTCTCAAGAGATTGATGGGGGTTACCCTAGCTAGTACAGTTTAAGCCCCACCCCACCCCCCCCACCCCACCCACACCCTCTTTCCCACTTTTCAGGGTACAAGAAGTATGACACATGTACTTTGGCACGTATTAAACCTCACTAGTCGAGCACTCTGTGTTTCTGAAGAAGACCCCAGTTTCCCAGGCCCTTTTCAGTCTGTGGGGACCACACAAATAATACGTCTTTACCCTCCTTGGAAATGGACTCCCTCGGTTTACATTTAACGATAATTGCGTCCAGTTACCGCATATAGCGATTATTACGACCGAAGGACAAGATCTCTTTCAAATGAGTGCTTTTTTACATCCTATCTCAACTGTTTTGGTAGTTCACGCTCCAGCAAAGACATGGCTGCGTTTGAACAAAGAACATCCAAATGAAATAACACTGCCGGCCTTCTACTACAATTCAGTTAAGAGACCGATACAGGCCCCCTCTCTTTACCTGGACTCACATGACTAGGTTACCAGCCAGACTCTCGGTACAGTGGTTTTTTTCACAGAGAACGTATATGGTACCAATTGGTCCAGACGAATAGGTTTGATTTTGAGGAGGAGTTAATAACCCCTATTAAATATTTATCTCAAATGTAAGCCTGGATATGCTATCATTAATTTGTTCAGGAAGGAGATAGTTGTTATTTGTAAGCACTGTTGATCAAATTTAGTCAGCTAACTTTCTAACCACATTTCTCTTCCAAATGAGATCTGAAATATCTTAAAATCTAAGCAGATATACCTAGATCCGGGTGGGGGGGGGGGGGGGGGGGTTGGGGTTGGTAATAAGTTCGGATATTAACTCCATTTAATTACTACTGCTCATGAAGAAGGCATCCAAAATTGCTTTTCTATTAGTAGGAAACTTCCTCCAAGACCATTAATCAATGGTTACTGCTCGTTTTTATCGCCTCTGCGCGCATCCAGTAAAACTCATTTGTCTTAGAAAGGCAGGCGTAAAAGCAATAGAGGGTTTCCTGTACTACTACGACCACTACTACTACTACTACTACAACTACATACGCTTACAAGCAGTCCTCTACGGTAGAACAAAAAACTCACAGGCGCTGCCTCTTTACTGTATCTCCCATCACGTACAGAGTGGATTAGTCATCTACCTCACTCTCTCTCTCTCTCTCTCTCTCACTCTGCCTGCTGGTCGCTTTGTATGTTGAAATTGAAGGGGGGGGGGGGGGGGGGGGG